CAGGGAGGGCCTGTTTGGAATATTTTAAATAAATATTCTCAATGATAGATTTTTGGGAGAGGACCAGACAAATGTGTACATAGTGGCATTTAACATTTAGGAACTGAGCATGTGTAGTCCTGGCTGAAGACAGTGATTGAACCCTGGATCTGTTTTGTTTTCCTCCTAACTACTACCATCAATAAAATCACCTTATCTAATAAAATTACCTTATCTATTTTTTGTTTATTTTCCTTTTTTTAAATTTCACTAGTCAGTGAAATACTGGTTTGCAACATTATATAGGTTTCCCTGTATAGAATTATAGTTTGCCTTTATATATATATTAAAGGAATTTTTAGATATAAATCCACATGGATGAGAAAAGATTATATCATTATGATTTTAGAAGCTAGAGGGAAGATAGAAGAGTGATATGTGACTTATCAGATAGAAAACTGAAGCCTATGCTTGTGGTGAAAGCTGAGAACCAACCAGTTTTATGCTGCAGAATTCTCCAGTTTTTGAGGATCTGGGTCACTAGGAATCTGGAAGCAGAGGATAAAGTGGGGAGGGGTGGTCAAAATAAGGACTAATCGATTCATTTTCAGAAAACAGAACTTTATTTCAGGCATAAGATAGCAGGGTTGAAGTTTCCTCCAGACTTAGTATTCATACCCAGTGAAACATAAGTTGTTGGATTAGAAAAAAAGACATTTTTAGATATGTAGGTTCTCAAAAAAGTACTCTTTCACAGGAAGCCATAGGAGATGAGTTGCACCAGAAAAGGAAATTATGGAATACAGAAATAGAAGATCCAACACTGTAAAGAGTCAAAGGGATCCAACACTGAAAAACGCTGAGGTGGAAGGAAATTCAGGTCTGGAAAGAAACCAGCTCAGATTGCAGCAGGTTCAGTGGCTATGGGGGAAGTTATTCTGGAAGATGAAAGTAAGAGAATCCTTGGCACTTATTTTATATTATATTTCTACTTTTCTACTCTACATGCCCATCTGCTTTAATAACCACATGTACTTGATACATTTAAATGTCCTGAGAAAATATTTATATAATCAAGATTGAATTAATAGTAAGTATATAGAATACTATATAGAAATAGCTTATTATATGGTTCAGCTCAAATAGCATGTAAAACTGTAAATAATGAATATTGATCTAAACAAAATTATTATGTTAGAAGGTTGGGAAATAAGAATAGTTCTCATAAATAGCAGAAGTGAAAAGCCAATGGTGTTTTTTGAGAGTGGGAAATTAATAAATACCTAAAATGGAAAAAGACCAAGATATTGACAGGAATTGAATAATCCTCCAGGATTTGTTACACTTAGAGCGCCAGTCTGTTTACTTTTTTCTCCCTAGAGGCAACCACTTTCACTTTAGAATTTTTTTTTTTTAAGACTTATTTATTTACGCTTACGGAACTGGGATACAGGCCAGAGGTGTGGTGGGTGAGAGGATTCACCAGAGACAGAGTGGGGAGCAGAACAGGCAGATCTACTGAAATACACTGCTGAGGGGAGCAGTGGGCAGGTCAGGAGAGGTCTACTGTGCCATGTGGGTCACCTCCCTGGCAGGGGATTGAACTCGTGCTGCAGTGGCTTCTGAGAGCTTCATAATGGGTGCTTTAACAAACGCTTGCATCACCAGGGAGAGCCCTCACTTTAGAAATTTTTATGTCATTTCCATGTATAACAAACCCATACTATCAAAGGTAATTCTGTGAGTCTCTCATCCTTGGGGGCCTAATGAGCCTAGTAAAGATAAAGATATCTAAATGTATTTTAAAATTTGGATTTTTAGATTATGGTAGGTATAATAAGAAGTAAATATATATATATTTTTTAAAGATTTATTTATTTATTCATACAGAACTGGGGTACAGACCAGAGATGTGGAGGGTGAGAGCATTCACCAGAGACAGAGTGGGGAACAGAACAGGCAGATCGACGAAGTACATTGCTGAGGGGAGCAGTGGGCGGTCAGGAGAGGTCTGCCATGCCATGTGGTCACCTCTGGGGCGGGCGGGGATTGAACTCATGCCGAAGTGGCTTTAGCTTCTCAGTGCAGTGCTTTAACCCGCTGCGCCACCAGGGAGGGCCCAAGAAGTAAATCTTTTTAATAAAATGATCCAAGAGTAGTATCTTAGATTACACAACTTATTTAAAGTCTAATCTTGTATTAAAAAGAGAATCCATAAAGAGAAGTACACAGATATATGTTTAAAATTGTGTTAAGCTTCACTCATAGGACAGTGTTACTAAGGAGGAACAATGAAACTTCAATAAAAAGATGTGTAATTGTCAGCAGCAACTAGAGGTTCAGTATTTTCACAGGACAAAGCTAGCAAAAATTTTAAAGTCAGGTTATTTCACCACTACTTAACTTATCCTACAGCAAAGAAAGAGAGGGAAAGCTTATATGAGTCCTAAGTCTGACAAAGATTGCATAAAATTAAGTTCACTCCCTATTTTTACTAGTGAGTCATTACAAAAAACTTAACTAAAAGATTAATAGAATCCCCAAATCATATCATGACCAAATAAAATTATTCAAAAAACCACAAAGGTGACTCAGTATTCTAAGATTCCTGAAAATAATAAAGCTGTGGAGAAAACCAGTAAGATTATCTCCCCACACTGCAAAGATATTTGACAAAATTCAACTCTTACTAAATAACAGCATATAAGAAAACTGTTATGGTTATAGAAGAGTTTCTCTTTTGTTCTCACCATCAATCACACTCTTGATACTAAATATTAAAACTGTAAAGTCTTTATAAGAATATGCTAAAAGTATAGTAGATATAAGGAAAAAGAACACACGATACTGATATAATGGGAGCAATTATTTTTGAGAGGCATTAAAAACTGACATTAAGGACTATTATGCTTTTATGGCTTTTCAAGTATGTGCTTTACATATTGGAAACTATTACTATATTTTAGATGCACCAGGGCCAGGTTATTAATGAGCTGTTAGAAATTGTCTCTTTTGTCTGATTAAAACTGCTGCAACATGTTAGTCAGAGTATGCAATGTTAAATGAAAATAATTACAGGAGGTATATTTCCAGCAACATAAAATATGCATGGGAGTGTCTTATCTTATGGATAATCACACATAAAGTGCATTTACTACCCCCAGTCTTTTTTTTTTAATTTACAAACACTTATTTAGAGAACTATTTGTTTGTAGAGCCTGCAAACTGTTTAATACATCAATTGCGTATAATGCTTCCTTTATTATTCCCCAAGCCAGAACTCAATCATGTTTTTGATACTTTGAAGGTGGAAGGCAGTTAAGATTTCTTAAGTTAGGTTTTCAGAAATTCTAATTCTCCAGTCACTTGAGTGGCAAATGTTTGAATTTGCATTAAAAACTATGTTAAAATTCAGCTCACATAGGCAGGCGGAGAAAAAGAAATGACATCAGAGATGCTTTGCTAAAGATCAGAGAAATGCAGCTGTGGCCTTCCCATTCATCAGGTAGAGCATTTATCTAGTCTGCCATTTTTCTGATAGACTTTCTAAGGATGACTCTTTTCAGATATTTTACAACAGCCAACAAAAGCCATCAGATTGACTTTTCTTCAAGAATTTAAACTTAATTCACTAGAAAATTCCTGAAGGTTATATCCATAATCATATCCCTTTTGAGAAACTGCTAACTTTCTATTTTTTTACTGAAGGATTTTTATGGGTATTATCTGTATATCTATTGTACTTTATTTTCTTTCAAAATGGGCAAGTGGACAAGGTCAACTGTACATCAAATCCTTGGACTCTTTAACTAGATTTAACCTGTGTATATAGAACTTTTCTCTAGTAAGGAGTCTAAATGAATTTAAAGCAATTAAGTTTTACTGACTTTACAAAAATGGTAATTGGAAACAGTGGTCATCAGCAAATTAAATGTTTTGTTCAGATTTTAGCATAATCAGAATTTACATTTTTAGAAAAGATTTACTGATAAGTCACTTAAAAGGAGTGTCTGTTTTTTGAGGATTATTTGTGTTACCCCAAATCTTTAAACAGATTCCTTAATTAGAACTTAGCAAAACAAAAATGAGACAGATTTTAGGTACCTTTAAGATCAATGGCATCAATTTGCTCTATCAGTCTAACTGAAGGGTGGAGATGGTGACAGAAAGCAAGCATGAAGGTGGCTTTGAGGCGCAGGCATTATTTCTTGATCTGAATGCTGCTCATATGGTTTGTTCAGATTATAACAAATGACTACATCACACATTGATATACACACATTTCTGTTTATATACTTATTTTTAAAAGGAGCATTTTAGGAAAACTGCTGGTTTGTAAATTAAAATTTGCAAAATGTAAAACAGGGAACATTGGTTTGAATCTAGATATCTAGTACTTCATTTCTTTGTACACAGAAGATATTCAGTGCTTTATATTAGGGACTGAGGATATAAAGATGAATATGGTATCTTCCTATGGCAGAGAAGGGCTAGCTTCTCATAAAACTAGTTTCAAGTGAAAATAGTTTCTTGGGCATGAAATTAAACCATATTCCCTTGTCTCCCAACAGCCAAAATTAGCACATACTGAATTGATAGCCAGTGTAATAAAAGGCTTGTTTCATGAAAACCTCCCATGCAAGATGTCTTCCATGCCTTAGTCTCTATCTATGGACTAATTGAGATGATTACAACAGTCATGAAAGAGTCAAGTCACAAAGTGGGGGGGGGGATCCTTGTAAGAGGCTTGTAAGAGGTCCACTTAATCAGGAAACTTTCTGGACTTTATGTGACTGAAAAATAAACTTTTCCCATTTTTGAGCCTTTTCTGGGTTGGTTTGCTGTAGCAACTGGCATTAACTAATAATGTGAATCTAAGGATTTGTCTTTTAAGAAGACATCTATCTGTATACACAAAAATTATAATTTAATAAGTACTATAGTAAAATAAAAAAATTCATATGAATGTTAGAGGAGGGAGCAGTGAATTTTATTCAAAGAAGATTCTTGAAGTAAGCAACATGTGAAATGATCTTTGAAGGAAGAATCTGTAAGAATTTACCAGAAAGACATAGCAGGAAAGGGTGGCCTAATAAATGGGGAGGTCTGAGCAAAGGCACGAATATATGCAATATGTCAGGAGTATGTGGAAATGGCTATTGTGTTTGCATGGAGGGGATGAGAAAAGACTAGAAAAATGACTTGGGTCAGACTGTGACATGGTAAATACACTAAGTATAACTTCCTAGTTATGTTAGTTTACTTATACGTTGAAAAAAACTAACCTAATTATATGTGGTAGGCAGGGGTAGGGACAGTGGTAAAGGCAAAGGACCAAGGTGCAGCAATTAGAGACTGAGGGAGAGAATGAAGAAAGTCATAATTAGTTCAGTCTCAAAATTACTGCATTAAAATCACCTTTCTGACTCTCTCAACAGGTCATAAGCACTGAATGGTCTGGTATAAAAAATATTTACTTTAGGTAAGGGTCAGCTTTTGGAAGTGAGAGCATGGAAAAGCCTTAAAATAAACTAGTGGGCAGACCTATAAGCGAACCCAACAAATCTATTTTTAATAATTAAAATGTCTTTATTTAAAAAATGATAATTAGGCCCTCCCTGGTGGCACAGTGGGTTAAAGCACAGCACTAAGAAGCTAAAGCCACTTCAGCATGAGTTCGAATCCCGCCTGCCCCGGAGATGATCCATATGGCGCGGCAGACCTCTCCTGACCTGACCCTCCTGCTGATCTCCTCAGCAGTATACTTCGTCAGTAGGCCGTTCTGCTCCCCACTGTCTCCGGTGAAGCCTCTCACCGCTTCTGCACCTCTGGCCTGTACCCAGTTCTATATGCATAGCTAAATAAATCTTTAAAAAAATGATAATTATATAATTCAAAAATAATTAAAATTAAGAGTAGAGAGTTGGTGTTCCTGTTTCTCACCAGCTCATTATCTTTTTACAGAGTAACAATTTTATCAGATCTTTTGTGTCCTTCCTGAGACATTCTCTACTCATCCAAGCAAATATGCAGAAGTCTTCTTTCTATAACCTTTTTAACACATATTCATAGGACTCCCCCTGTCACTGCCTCCCTGGTGAAAAGACATTTAGGACATTGACATACCTGAGAGTGGCACCCTCGGTTTTAATGAGATCACCATCTTTCAGATACACATACTGTTGTTCTCCATCTCCTATAACTTCTTCTTTCTGAGGATTTCTTGGCAGTTTTTTTATGCAAAATGTAGTATCTAGTCACAAAACGTGTAAAATATATTAAGTCATGCTTTAAAATATAGTGCAGTCTTTTCAGAGATCAACATTCCTAGAGATAACATGAAGGACTGCAAAAGATATTAACATTGAAACAGTAAAAATGGTATAAATTATAGCAGCATATTCTGGGATGATAACTTTCTTTTATTGTAACAAAAGAGCTTTCTATTCTCTTATGATCCTCTAAGTCTACATAAAAGTCTTTGTGTTCTTCTAGTGACTCCTATTTTATACAATTTGAAAGTAGTTCTTTATAATCTAACTAGCTCAGTTATCAAGATGGGTGTTGAAGAAGTAGTAACAGAGAACCTGAAAACCCCACCTGTCTATCTAGTGCCTAACTTACAGTAAAAGAAATCATGGTGTCCTGACATTAGTTAACAGTAAACAAGTGATAGTAAAATTCAAGCCCCAAACCTGGGGCTAAGATAATAAAACGCTACAATAAATTTAACCTATACCTCTCAATTACAAAGGAATATCAATAACTAGCCAATTAATAGTTGAGCGCAAATTATCTAACCAGTATCGTATGTATAGTGTGAGTAAAATTCCATGACATCAAAGTAATTAAAAACTGTTTTAATTGGGTAAATAAAACTTACAAACAAGAAGTAATTAAAGAACTAAGTACTATTTAAAGAATACAAAGTAAATGATTTAGATAATAAAAACAAGAGTTTAAAGGAAGGAGAAAAGCTAAAGGATTCATTAATATAACAGAGGTATGCTATACAGGATGAGGAGGATGGGAAAAGTTAAGAGAAAAGAATTATAGGTAAGAGAACAGTATTAGCAAAGGTGTGGGGATGAGAACAAGCGTGGCATAAGTACAGCAACATACTGCTACCAACTTGTTTAGTGCAAAACACTGTCTGGGAAGAGTGGAGAAAGTTGTGATAGGTTGGAAGATCTACTATCAAGGAGGGCCTCAAATTCCTTTTCAGGAGATAGGAATAATTCAAATTTCACTGAATGTGGCCACTGTACACTCTTCTTTAAGTTAATGAAACAGTGTTAACAGTTAATCAATATGGCAGCCATTGGTGGGGAGATTGGAACGTGAGAGAACAGACAGATCAGGAGGGGATGACCTGAATAGAAGGTAAAGAGTATTAGGGGTAGGTCAGAGAAGAAGACCTATGGAGTAAGAAAAAGTTATTCAAAGAAAAACTGATAAGGCACATAAGTCTGGTTAGTATGGAGAACAAAGGAAATGGAAACACTGAAGTAAATATAAAACAACCAGCACCTTCCATCTCCAACCCCAAACTCTACTACTTTCTTACAGGCTAAAGCCAAAATAATTATAATATTCTGGGAAATGACACTCATAGTAAGTCTGTCTTCATTATTGAGTGAGATGGGGAGGTATTTTCTTTGTTTTTGCTTTTAATCTGCACAATTTTGTCTCTTTATTAAAGACACGGTATTTTGAGTTGTAAGCCTTTTGGCAGACAGTCTTCCCCACCCAAATCACATTTACCTTAAAATTTCCAAAAAAGAAAGAAATTATACTGTAAAATTACTTTGTGTCAGTTTTTAATATTATGTATAAATATGAAGACACATCTTCTATTCATAATAGCAATCTATTGGCAGGATGAAAAGGGCATGCTGAAAGCAATCATATAATAATCATTTTGATAACAACTTATTGAGAAACGATTTACCCTTTTAAAGTTACAAGTACATATTTAAAAACTCATATTTAAAGAACTGTGCAACCATCAACATGGTCTCATTTTAGAACATTTTTAAAACTGCCCAAAGAAATCCTGTAACTAGTGGCAGTCACTTTCTATTCTCCTCTCAGCTTCTGACAACCACTTGTCTGTCACTATCAAGTAATTATTTATCAGGAGCAAACACTCAGGTATTTGTTAAGGTTTAAATAATCAATTATAACATCATTGCTAATGCTAATTATTTAAACTGATACATGGTATTGGTCACATATAATGCTTTTTAATAAAAAACATATTCTAAATGAAAAACAGAGAAGCAAACATCGGAGTCTTCTGGTCTCAGTTGTGAAATATGTGGCAAAGATCCAATTTCTGCTGCAAACCAGTAAAATATTTCTATAGAATTTACTAAGAACCAAAAAACAAAAACAAAACCAAAAAACCCAAACAAAACATTCAAGCATTCTGGGGTTAAATAATTCTCCTGTCTACATACCAGGGCCCTCCCTGGTGGTGCATCGGGTTAAAGCACAGCACTAAGAAGCTTAAGCCACTTCCACATGAGTTCGATCCCCATCTGCCCCGGAGGAGATCCACATGGCGAGGCAGACCTCTCCTGACCCGCCCGCTGCTCCCCTCAGCAATGTACTTTGTCGATCTGCCTGTTCTGCTCCCAGCTCTGTCTCTGGTGAATCCTTTCACCCTCCGCATCTCTGGCCTGTACCCCAGTTCTGTATGCACAAACAAATAAATCTTTAAAAAAAAAAAATTCTCCTGTCTAGTAAAATTCACTCCCTGTAGGTCATTAGTAATTTCTAAATCATACACTGTATTTGTAAAATTTTTAGCAAGTTGCTATGGAGTTACTATATATTTCCACTAAAATCTTATAAAAGATATCCTTATTTTTGTGTGGCCTATAAAAATGCAGGTTGTTAGAAATACAAAGTTGGAAATTTCTGCAAAAATAATAATTAAACATAACAGTAAAACAATGTAGAAAAAGTAAATAATCATAAAACAAAATGGAATATGAATGCTAGTGATTAAGAATTTAGAATGAAGAAATACACCTCCACAACTCAGTACTGAGCAACTCCAGATGTGTATGTAGTTTGTTTAGTTTTGATAAGGTTCAGAATGAAGGACAACAGCCACTATTAAAGTTTTAGTGGCTATAAAGCAGTTCCAAATTTCTCATTGATCTTCTTAAAAGAATCAAATAAGTAATCCATTACAAAAATATTTATTATTTTGAGTGGAACCCAAAACTTAAAAATTTTAAGTCCAATAGGCAAAAGATAAACAACTTGTGTTATATCCTACCATGAGCTGCTACTTGGAAATTCAAATTTCTGATACATGAAACATGGGTAGATATCAAAAACAAGATAATGTGTGAAAAAAGTCAAACACAGAAAACACAGAAAGTGATTCTGTATTGGCCATTAAGTGAAATTCTGGAATAGACAAAACTAACCTATAGTGCAATAAAGCACATCACTGGTTGCTGGAAGTGGAGGAGAAATCCCTGAGGGACACAGAACTGATATTTAGGGTGAGGGGAGTATTCTTTACCTTGATAGGGTCATATAGGTGTTTAGAGTTGTTAAAACACCACTAATTTAATACACATAAAACTGATACCATTTATATATATAAATTAAAACTAAATGAAGTTGATCTTTCAAGTAGAAAAGGAGCTGCAAACATTTTAACTTTTCAAATTGACCCTCATGCTCTAAGAGTTGACCAAAGGTAATTAAGAACCCTCAGTGTAATTTTTTAATTTACAAAATTTAAAGGGTAGCCCAACAGGGAAAGAAAGATGAGGAAACATCAGACTGAGAGAATGAGTTCCTATAGCGCACAGTCTCCTTGGGCTTCTGCTGGACTGGAAGAGGGTAGATAATAGATATGTTACACACTTTTTTACAGTGTACAGGGTGGTGATACTGGGTGCTGCAGTTGAGAATATTTTAGTGCTGCAATTGTAATCTTGACATAAAAATAACACACAAAAACATTAGCTGAAAGCAATGTGCATCCTCTTCTAAATGGCCATCTTCATGTGCCTTGACCACGCCAACTGTACACCCATTCCCGTATCTGCTCCTGCAGTGCCCTCTGCTTGGGGTGCCCTTCTCTCAGACACCAGTGTAGATTACTGTTCTCTTTGCATCTTAGGTAAGGTGCACTGTCCTTTTCCACTTATTCTCTCCTTATTTTTAGCTTTAGCTTTTCCCAAAGCACCCTCCCATGCTATTTATTTACCATTTACCTCCCTATTAGAATCAATGTTTCATGAGAGTATTCTTTCTTCAGATCACTGCTATTTCCCTTCTGTCAAAAATGTATCTATTTATAGCAGTTAGTTGAGTATTTAAATGATCTATGTGTGTGATAGTAGAATGAAGGAATATGGAGCTAGATAGTAAGATGTCATTACTGAAGAGATGTCAAGCACAAAAAATAATACAGTGATCTTTCACCAGTATTTTAGGATCTGAAAGCAATTGCCTTAAATTTTTGGAAGACCTAAAATCATATTTAGAATGTGGACAATTATAGCACCAACATGAGCGTACCCACATAAAGTATTAAGCACAATGCCTGGTATGTAGTATCTGTCGACAATGGTTGGTTTTTATTAAACACGATGTAGAAATTGTCATACAGATCAAATTAAAATTGGTCACCACTAGGCAAAGGAGCAAAAAAGAGAAGACACTTGAAATACAAAATAGGACTTTTTCTTCATTCCTTTGTTAAAATTGGAGAGTGTTCAAGTTATATTAATGTCTAAAAATATCATTTAAATATAAGATATTCAATAGGTGTTTTACTAGCTTATTTACTTATCCTGTAACTGAAACAAACTATTCTGAAAATATGCTTTTCCTTAATAATAAGTTTAGTGAAAGTTTTTTTATTTACCATTACTGATGCTTTTACAAATATCTCCTATGCCTCCAGTGTGATCACGGTGCCAATGAGTCACTACGATTTCCTGAATTCCTGTGTTAAATTCAGTCAGAGCCTGCTTTAAACAGCTGATGTACTCTGGAATTGCTGGTTCTCCAGTGTCAATGAGGATTCTCCTGAAAATTAAATGGAAGATAATTAACACAACCAGAACAGAGTTAATACTAACATATTAACTAGAATATTTCCATTTAAGAAACTGTATCTATTGCTTTACTTTCAACATTCTTAGATCCATAACTGTAGCTTCACTATAGAAATCTTACCTATAAGTTCTTCAAAACTTAGAGCCAAAATTTAAACCATTTATTGAATATCTTCTATTTAAATTATATTCAAAATTTAGGTCTAAACAAGGAATAAATACTTACCAGCACTTAAATATGGCATTAATTGAAGGACATTGCCTTTTTTAACCATCATATTCCTTTTAATAACAGCGTAAGTTAAGATATTCCATTATATATAGAAATTAAGTAGCTTGTTCAAGGTTATGGTACATTCAAGCCAGCATTCACTCAGTATTTTGTACCACAATATGTACTCTTGTTCACTTTGCCTTTAAGGTCTTCTACAATATCCTCAAATGTCTCAGATCTGAAAGAAATTGTTTCGAAGTTCTCCCTAATAAAGCTAATTTCTGCAGTAGATACAAAGCTCAATATTGAAGTTTTACATTGGTTCCTTCACACATGAAACGGAAACAGAGAAATATGGGGGGAATGTGATTTGTTTGCTTTCTTATAAGTATACTTATAGCATATATAACCTTATAGTTACATTTTTTGCTTGTAGTCTTGAACCTTCCTTATACTTTTTTGCCCTTCCTCTATTTTTTCTTTCTCTCTCAAGTTTTTCTGAACTAAAAGAGGATTCCACTTTCCTTTTCAAGAACCAATTCTCAAACTTCTTAATTCATACAATTTCTAAAGTTAACAGCTGCCTAATTCAGGCTGGGGGAGGGATTAGTCTTGAGATTCATCATTCATCTCTTGGCAGTAACTTTTTATGAATTATCTATTTATCTATCTATTTATTCTTGATAAAAACCCTGTTTACTTCCTAGTGGAGGATGGGAAGAATAAGTTGTGGAAAGAAGCAGTAGTGACTGATATCAGAAAGCATTTTGTGGAACATTAAAATAGGGTAAATTTGACAGGAGTTAACTGTATGGCTATTTTATATTGGATGGCTTGTTTCCCTAATCCTATCCCTTAAAAGTCAGCACCAATAAATAAAAACACATTGCTCTCACAGATGGGGGTGGGGTGAGGTGGGGGGACAGCAGCCTTAAGGTCTAGCTGCATTTTAATTCCAAAAAGCAGTGGCTCTACTTTACAGGTACAGCGTCACAATGGACTCATTTGGAGAGAGGGAAACCAGACAGCTATCCAGTCCAATAGTGCATTGTAAGGTCCAATTGGCAGTGGAAGTTTAAGGAAGAGATGGTTTAAAGAACATTTAGGAGGTATAATATACAGGAGCTTTTTAGATAATTGGACAAGAAGGGAATGGAAAAGAATTGATTCTGAGGTTTTTCAGATGAGATGACTAGTGAGTAATTAATCAAGACAGTAAACACTGAAGGGAGCAAATTTGAGTCTGGGTTGGGTCATAGTGAATTTTAATGATACTACAGACCATCTTCTTTTGTTTTTCCCTACAGCACTTATTACCACTGGCATCTATAGGTTTATCTGTTTACTTATTTATTGTCTATCTCCACACCCTCCTGAGCCCCAAAGGCTGAAGCCTTGTCTTTTTCTGCTGCAAGTTAGATACTCAATAAATAAATGCTAAATGAATAAATAAGGTAATATCTTTACTTTTTTTTTTTATTTATTTATGTATACAGAACTGGGGTACAGGCCAGAGGTGCAGGGGCGGTGAGAGGCTTCACCAGAGACAGAGCGGGGAGCAGAACAGGCAGATCGACGAAGTACACTGCTGAGGGGAGCAGCGGGCGGGTCAGGAGAGGTCTGCCGCGCCATGTGGTCACCTCCGGGGCAGGCGGGAATTGAACTCATGCGGAAGTGGCTTTAGCTTCTCAATGCAGTGCTTTAACCCGCTGCGCCACCAGGGAGGGCCTATCTTTACTTTTAACTCATTTAATTATCAGATCAATCCTGAAAGTTTACTCTTGTATAGATAGGGAAACTGAGGCCTTCAAAAGTTGGACATTAGTTTACTCAATGTCACAGGATATATTTGAACTCATAATTTTTCAAATCCAACGCCTATTTTCTCCAGATACGAGGAATACTTAAGCAGTTTTTGATGAATAATGACAGGTAATGGGTTCCTAACGTTTTTCATTTCCTGGGCCCCTTTAGCAGTGTGGTGAAACCTACAGACCAGTCTCAGAATAATATTTTGGAATGCATAAATTACACAGGATTACAAATAAACCAGTTACACTTATATAAAAAAATGAAAAAAACTTGATACAGTATATTCCATGTGCTTATTCACGACCATGAAAATTAGGATCAGCACCAAACTTTCTAATTACTGTAATTTCTAAATAATGATGTACACACTATTTTGAGAGCTATCATGATTGTAATAGCCTATGAAAATATTAGAGAAAAAAATACTTACATTACACTGTGAGCTTTTTTTTTTTTTTTATGCCTATATTCATAATTAAACAAAAGCTTAACTTGCAGTTGGTGGTTAAAAGTATAATTTTTTTCCCTAGCAAAGATCAAACTCCCTGAAATATAACCCTTTGGAGGACTATTGTGGGTTCTTATGAGCTGGCGACTAGCTGGCCACTCATGGGCAACTGTGACCTATTTGCCATCTACAAATCACAGCATAGAATTCCCTGACTACCTACAGAGTATAGCTCATATCATGAGGCAGGCCCAAGGATGCCTAGGTCGTTGTTGACCTGATCACATGGCTGTCTCCATGGTGGTCTCAGGATAACTCTGCCTATGATAACACTGAATACTTTGTTGATGCAAATGTCTCTTGATGTATGGTCAAGATGTCCCCTTCCCTGTCCCTCATACAACTCTGTCACCCATCCTCTGGATTTTATTCCTCATACCATTTTCACATGATCAGCTTTTACTAGCCTGTATGCTTTCAAAATATGGCACAAGAACTTCTGCTCAAGTAGCAGCGTCTTGCCGTGCAAACCTGCTCCATGAATGCTTGTCCCTCATCTTGTTCTTCCTACAAAGAAGCAATGAAGTTCCTGTTGCAACAGACTATAGCATATCTCAGGCTAATAACTCTTGATTCTGGTAGAGAAAGGAGAAAAGCAGATAAAACCAAGTCTGGGATGTCATTCATTAACTATTTTTGTTGATACATACCCCATTGTCTAGAACAGCCCTGTTGCATAACAGGAACTCAATAAATAGCTGAATAAACTTAAAATAAATTTTAAGGAATGATTACCACATATAGAAGCTGTGCTATATAATTTATAAAATGCAAAGCTGAGCAATACAGACTGCTCAAGGATTTCAGGACTTTATGGATTCATTTTCATATATATAACATATGGTGTCATTCTTAGCACTGTGCATTTAGACACACAAAATGAAAAATATACAAAACTACAATATTGTGGTATTCCAAACAAATATTTGCTAGCTTAATATGCTAGATTTTGGTTGCTTCCATGTATTTGGGGATTAGTTACCTAGTAACTGCACACTTTTGATGTTTTAATTAAGATCACTAAGGCTATTTTGGGGGTCTTCTGGATTCTTCCATGCTTCAGGCTAAGACTTCTTCAATATTTGCATAACACCTAAACCTTGCCCCTACTTTTAATTCCTTTCCCCTACCCCCATCCTCTAAAGGAAACTGTTTTTGAAATATATTGTAATCTGAAACTAAATTTAAGTATTGTCTTTATTGTAAAGGCCAGGTGAGATCATGTCCATCAGATGTCAATATGAGATTAATAGGGTTAATATATAGATCCATTAAATCTAGTAAAAAAAAAATGATTGTGCCCTCTGTGGCAAGTGTGTGACAGCATTCTGGCACTAGGGTTTTGTCTTGGTCTAGTACAATAGGCATGGACAAAGTAAAGCCTAACAAAGTGAGTAAAATAAAAAGTCCTGGATTAAACACAATCTATTAACAGTGATGGATCCCCATGCTATAGAACCTAAAAATATAAGCTTCCCCATGCTATAGAACCTAAAAATATAGAACCTAAAAATATAGTAAACAAAAAAGTTATGTTGATAACCTCTTACATACTGGCATAGCAACTTAAACTAGCATTTGGTGTTTTCAATTTTATTATTGATTTCCATCCTTATTATTATTATTTCATTTTACAGAAGAGACTTGTTTTCAGAAAGTTTGATTTGTTTCACTTAACAAGCAAGAAGCAGTGCTTGAAAGCATTATATTCAGATTCAAGGCACAGTGATTTCTCTGTTCAAGCTAGGTAGAAGAGGCCTCCTTAAGCAAACACCTGGAATTACTCTACATGAGGCATAAATAAAACTGTAGCTCCAAAATGTTGTTTCTTCTTTAGCAAACAGTAATTCTATTGCTATGTGTGTGAATAGTTACAGCAGAGCATTAGTACCATCTCTTTGTGGGCTGGTAAACTGTTTTTCTTGGCAACAGACAGTATTCTACCTAGGGAGGTCATCTTGAAAGTTCAAGTTATGCTAATAAAAGGGACAAGAGTGCAGAAGAATTTGTACAGGTCTATGACTGATTTATTCACTGGAGCACAAGGTTAGGTATATAATAGACACTGCAACACTGCTATGTTAATAAAGGAAAAAATTCTTCAGGTGATGGAAATTAGTAGAGTCATTTTCCTCTTTTAGGTATTTTATATTAATATTAAGACAGCTATTAAATGGTCTGTCATTTTGTGGTCACTCTTACAAATTTGTCGGGCATTTTTTGAGCACTTAGTACGAACACCCAATATTGTCTGGATGTTATGAGGGAAATGACAAAAGTATTTGCTAACATTATTTTATGCTTTCCATGACAGAATTTAAATGCTTTTGAGATGATTTTCAACTTAACTTTTAATGACTCCTATTTCATCCCTGTGAGGCAGGTAATATACAGCCCTCATTGTATAAAGAAGGAATCTGAAATTCAGGGTAAACTGTTTTGTCTATTCTGTTCCACTGCATGTCTTTTCCTATTAGAAGTTAAACAATCTGCCTTGAAAGTACTTACTATTTTCATAATAAAGACAAACTAGGATTGCATCTTGTACTTTCATAACACTGGGCCTCTTCACAGAGCTGCTTGAGCATCCTCAGGTAAGGAAGGCAACTGGCTTCTCTAGGTGAGTGAAGGGGTGGAGGTTGAGAAACCCTAGTGCCTTCCGTGATCTTGTCTTGGAAGCTGTTTCTACTTTAGTACTCTTATTCTAGCCGTGACTCACGGGGAGACTTAGACACCTCTTGAAGAGGGGGGTGTATCAAAGAATTGTGGGCATATCTTAAAGCCATCACACCAAGCAAAGGATAGTGAAAAGCACTTAAAGATCTAGAAGAGAGGTTGATTCTATTCATGATATGTGAAAGAGCAACTAGAGCTAAGAGGAAACCAGGAGAATGTGGTGTTAGCAAATGAAGGTTAGTGGTATCAAAAGGTACCAAATGGGAATGGAAAATTACCATTGAGTTTAGTGATGTATCTTATAACTGTTTTGTGCAGCTAAACAGTTGGATAGTGCTCTCAGACATTCTTGGACTCAACTAATATTTATTTCTAGTCACCTTTTACCCAATACAGTACAGTAGTATCATGTGCATATTAACTTATTCTATCTTATCTATCTTATCTATCTATCTATCTATCTATCTATCTATCTATCTATCTATCTATCTATCTATCTATCTATCTATGTATCTATCTATCTATCTACGTATCTATCTTATAGGAGTGATTCTACTTACAGCGACCACTTCACTCTATGAGGTTTTTGAGTGTTATCAGACATTCTTGGACTCAACTAATATTTATTTCTAGTCACTTTTTACCCAATACAGTACAGTAGTATCATGTGCATATTAACTTATTCTATCTATCTATCTATCTATCTATCTATCTATCTATCTATCTATCTATCTATCTATCTATCTATCTATCTAATAGGAGTGATTCTACTTACAGTGACCTTTCACTCTGAGGTTTTTGAGTGTAAGATACAAATCTGCTCTTCCCTCAGTTTCAGGTTTTCTATCTCTCTTTAGCACAAGTACCCTGCTGCTCTTCATGTAATTCTAGTGTTTAAAGATACAGTTATGTATTTTTCAAACAACATGATTTCTAAATGAAAGTCAACTTCTTTGTCTGGATTTCAGATGGAACTACTCGTGGTGGGGAAAATACAAGCTGTGTTAAACTTACTGACAGTACACAGTTCTCCAACAGATGTTCTCCTAATATACTTACTAGGGCAACTGACTATATGCAATTTTCATCTTAGGTATTGAGTTTAGGACCAGTTTAAGATGACACACTGAGGAGACAAGAGAATGCCCAAGGAAACTCTGGGGGTGATGGAGTTCCAGCCAAGTTAGACTGAGCCCTGCTTATTTCTCCACAAGCTTCTGGAGACAGTCCAAAGCTCTTGTACCTATTGACCCTGCCTTGTGTATTTTGGACTTAATAGTTTACCTGCTTGACTTGAAATACTTCCAGTTCCTCTGGCCCACTCTTCTAAAATTCTGATTTACTGGAAAAACGCAAATACTGTAGATATTTTAAACAAATTAAAGGACTATACCTACTGAACTCTTCTTCGTAGTCAACTATAAACTCCAATTTATTGTAACAAGACTAAACAATTAGATTCTAAGCTCAAAGGGAACTATACCTTGATTTCATTTTGTATTATCTAGGGTATACTAAAGACTAGGTGTACAAAATTGCTCAATGCAAACCAATCTCATTTCTGAGTGTTTTCACTAAAACAGAATGCAGCGGAACTGAACAAGAGGAAAACGTTAATACTGATAGGTTATTCTATTCACAAAGTATAATAACTTAGGTTTCACGGATTTGAACAATTTGGAAGCAAAGAAATCCTGCCCTCTGCTGCCTACTTAAGAAAAAGGCCTCAGCACAGTATGCTTTTGAGAAGGGAAGTTAAACTCAGGGCAAAACACCAGTGAAAAGTGAAAGGTCAGCAAAGAAAGTAAACGCTTCCATGGATTCTCCACTGCAGCCGATCTTAATTTGTCAAATGCGCTGAACCAGCATTCAAACAGCAAGCAAAGTAAATCTGGTTTCAAAACCAGTCCCCTTCTCATTATTTCTCCTTCTTTAGACATTTGTAAGTTTGAGAGGATACCACCCGCGTGATTTAAGGGAGATCGGGAATCGCAGTGGCTGCGGGCGGTCCTAGGCAGGGCTGCCCCGCCAGCTGGCGGACCCCTCGCCCCGGCTGTCTGCGCAGAGCCAGTCCGCCAACTGCGAGCAGTTTCGGAGCCCCCGCTCCAAGACGCCCCCGGGCCGCTGTGTATGTTGAGTGGGGGTGTGGGGGGTAGGGGGGACTTTTACCTGGGGCCGGTCCCCACCAGGTAGGTGTTGGTGCCCTGCAGGGTCATGGGGCCCGGGTTACAGCCCAGGACGCGCACCACTCGACTGGACAGCCGCTCGATGCGCTGCAGGGTGGCAGCCATCTCTGCACGAGCCGCCAGCCAGCGCGCAGCGTGCCGCGTGATCCGTGAGCGGAAGGAGCCACTCGGCCCGGGGGCGGGGCCTCGTGACGCAGCGCCAGCCCAGCCGGAGCGGGGGCGCGACCGTGGGTCACGTGACAGCGCAGCCGCGGCGGGAGGGAGTTTAAGGGCGCGTGGCTAAGGCGGCGTGAGGCGACGCTGGATTGGGCCCGCGGGGCGCTGCCTCCTGTCAGAGTTCCGGTTCTTTTCTGAGAAGTTTGAGTGCCTGCAGGCGAGTTCAAGTGGGCGAGAGAAATTTTAACTTGGGAAGTGATGAAGCAAGGAAGGGGCAGGCGGGTCGCGCAGGCTTGGTCTCTCGGTTTTCTGGCAGTGGGGGTGTGTGTCGTCACCGGTTTTTCTATTTATAATAGTGGTAACTGATGGTGACTTAGCGCTTCTGCCGTGTCGAGTACTTTTTACTATCTCATTTAATCCTCACACTATTAAGAGGAAGGCACTTTTTTATCCCATTTTACAAACGAAAAATGAAGATTTGGAGCCGTGGCCAAGCGAGGGAGCTGGAAGCCCAATTCAGCAAGCTTGCTTCTCCCTGTCTTCGCGGAGAACTAAGTTGGTCTTGTGGAGGAGCTAAGAAAAAATCACTTTCTTGCTAAGAATCTTAATCTGGTGACTACTAAAAACCCCAGTAGAAGTATGAACAATTGCTCTCGTTAAAAAAAAAAAAAAAGTTACAGTTTATCTAGAAGAAAACTCACGAGTCATGATCACTCTCACCTAGTTCTGACTATGGTGTTTAACCACTTCCCCAAGGGAGATACAGATGAACTACTTTTGGTTCGTTAGGTGTTTGTTAACAATGAGTAAGGTAGTTGACTTTCTAGAGACACATGACCATGAAGGAAGTACACATCTGATGGTAAATTCTAGACAGATATAACTGAAGGAGGAAGAAGAGAATCAAATTGGGAAGATCGGGAAAGCTTAACGTGGTGTGTTTTGTGCTGATTCTTAAAGGGTTGAAAGAACATCAGTCAGAAGTACAAGGTCCTTCTAGACAGTGGATAATCTCAAGCAAAGGCTTGGAAATGGAAGTGTTTGTTTTGGGGGAGCAGAAACCAACAGTCAAGTCCAGGATTTGAGAATTGTAATTTGAAACTGTAGGTAGAGCTAAGTTAATGATGTTTTTAATTTATCAGAGTATTTCAAATTCAAGAGTCTGTCTCCCTTTCAAACATGGATTTTTGTCCGCGTGAATATGCTGTCAGTAAATTGTATTAAACCTTAATTGAAAAGTATAGTAAAATACACTAGTCAGCTTATTAAAGGAACCATTTAGTTCCTTCCCACTATGGGGTAGTGGTAAAGGGGTGTACTGTTGTTATAATAAAACTGTTATCACTAGATTAGAAAATCCTACGTATGACTAACAGGTGATTTCAGTTTCATTTTAGTATGCGATCTGAAAGGTTTACACACCCTGCAACTATTCTTGTCTTCAGAAGAAGAAATAAAAGATTACCAGACTAAAGTTTTTCTGGAAGGAATTTTGCAGTAAAGAAGGCATTCTATATTGGACAAGTAAGTCTACATTTTGTTTGTTAAATTTGGTCTACAATTGAACATTTGCTAGTTTTTACTTCTTCAAAGATCTGCTTTATTGTGAAGAGATAGTATACAGCATGCAAAGGTTATGTATTTTGGCCGGCAGCCAGATAGCTGGGAAGCTGGGATGACATCCGAATGAAATTCACGTAAAACTGTCATGTTAGTAAGTGTTACAAGTCTCATTTTATGTCATATTTTTGTAAGGTGCCATTATTTCTTTGGAGATGATATTAGAAAAGTGATCAACTATAGGGATAGGGATAAAATAACCTTCGTACATGTTATATGGCCCTGATTATTGAAAGAACTGTCCGCCCTTTTTATGAGAGCTGCTTTGCTTATTGCCTAGTTATGTTGGTTCCTTCTTAGTTGGCATTAGGTTCTGCCTTACTAAAGTAGGCATATAGAAGTTGTTAGATTAGTCTATTGAGTCTGTTCTGCCAATAATGCAACTTATAACTTCTTAGAAATTATTTTTTACATCTCACAAAACTTGAAAATTGCCGATGTTTCCTTGTCTATCCCAGTTAAAGGAAGATTTCTTTGTTGGGAATGATTAAGCACATGGAATGCCTAGTTATTACAGTTTGTAATTTTAAGAAAATTATCTACATTAGAAGTCAGTTTACTCATTAAAGATTGTATAATTAATACACAACAACTCTTGGGGCCAATAATATTACCTTCTCTTAGGGATTTGTAAGGATTAAATAAAGTGTGTAAAATATTGCACATGTAGTAAACAATTAGAAATGGTAGGTACTATTATCTATTTTCCAGTATATATGCAGTTTTTTTTCCCATGAATAGTAACGCTCGTAAGAAGTTGCATTTTAAAGAATAATGATAGACTATTTCTGAGATACACTTTAAACACATCCAGCATAGTCATCTAAGGAATTTGTACTGGTTATTTTGTGGAACTTCTCTTTCTGGAAGGTGTAGTCAAAATCTACTACACTAAACTTTCAAATTAGGCATTTCTCCTACTTGGAAAGCTCTTCCCTATGATACCCATATGGTTTACTTCATTATTCAAATATCACCTCAATGAGACCTTCCTTTGACCATTCTAGTAAAATTATAACCTGTGAAGTTCCTGTACTTCAACTCTTGATCTCACTTAACATGCTGTCTTTCCCTGGCACCTTCAAATACAACATTTGACTTATTTATTATTTTCATGGTTAATTGACAACCTTTCTTTTCTAGAAAGTAAGTTCCAAAAGAGCAGGGATTTTCATCTCTTTATACAATGCAGGAGCCTAAAGGATTGCATGGTGGGCTCTTAGTAAATACTTCATTAATTCAGTAGAACAGATTTTTGATTTATCTCATCTCTCTAAACTCCTTGCTTACATTGGGCATGATATCTTTCTTTCTTTCTTTCTTTCTTTTTTTTTTTAAAGATTGTATTTATGCATACAGAACTGGGAAACAGGCCAGAGGTGCGGGGGGTGAGAGGCTTCACCAGAGAGAGTAGGAAGCAGAATAGGCAGATAGAAGAAGTACATTGCTGAGGGGAACAGCAGGCGACACAGGAGAGGCCTACTGGGTACAATGTGGACCTCTAGGGTGGGGACTGAACTTGCACTGAGCGGCTATGGCCAGTTTTATAGTGTTCTGCTATCAGGGAGGACCAATATCTTTCATTTTAAGGTAAACCTGCTGTAGAGAAATTTGTGACCCTCTAGACTGGAAAAATTAATTGAATTTTTTTTGTTCATTCTGTTCATATCCTTGATAAGGGAAAATAATAATTATGAACATTTTTTTTTGGTAAGAAGAGTGAAATAACTTTTAATATTATTCTAAAGACTTTTAAACAAAATACTTATAAATTATAAAATTCAAGAGACCATAAGTATTATTTGTGTGCAATTTTAGTAACACTTGCCTCCTGGCTTTTATTTTAAATAAGATTTATTTATGAACACAGGAACCGGGATACACGCCAGAGGTGGGGGGCGGGCAGTGAGAGGGTTCACCAGAGATAAAGTAGGGAGCAGAACAGGCAGATCTATTGACATACTGCTGCGGAGAGCAGTGGGCAGGTCAGGAGAGGTCTGTCCCCTCCCTGGCCAAGAATGGAACTCATAATGTGCTGCACTGGTTGTGGATAGTTTCATAGCACTGTGCTTTAACCCATTGTGCCACCAGGGAGGCCCCCCTCCCTGTTTTTAAAGTAAGTAAGTGTTCTTTATAGAACACAGAGTGTGAGTCTACTTAGGCTGCTGTAACAGGCTACCACAGACTGGTATCTTGAACAACTGAAGTTTATTTTCCCACAGTTCTGTAGTCTGGGAGTCCAGCATCAAGGTGCTAGCAGTAGGTTTTGGGTGAGGTCTCTTTTATTTGTTTGCAGATGACTGTTTTTTCACTGTATCCACATATGACCTTTCCTCTGTTTGTACTGCTGGTAGGAGTGGAAGATAGTTTTCACTTCCTCTTCTTGCAAGGACACCAGCCTTAACTAGATTAGAGTATGTTCTTTTTTTTTTTTTTTAAGATTTATTTATTTATTTGTACATACAGAACTGGGGTACAGGCCAGAGACTCAGGGGCGGCGAGAGCAGAACAGGCAGATCGACGAAGTACACTGCTGAGGGCAGCAGTGGGTGGGTCAGGAGAGGTCTGCCATGCCATGTGGTCACCTCCGGGGCGGGCGGGGATCGAACTCATGTGGAAGTGGCTTTAGCTTCTCAGTGCAGTGCTTTAACCCGCTGCACCACCAGGGAGGGCCTAGAGTATGTTCTTTTTTTTTTAATCTTAATTGCCTTTTTAAAAAAATAGTTGCATTGGAGTTAGAACTTCAGCATATGAATTTTGGTGGGAAAACTCAATCCATACATATGGAACAGAATGAAGAAAAAGAAAAATTCATTTATATCATTAATTCACCTGATAAAACCACAGTTAACATTTTTGCATTTCCATTGTATTTTCAAAGCTTTGAGATTATACTCTAGTGCTTTTTTTACTTAACATTACTTAAAGTTAAGTTGTCAAAGATAGCAAACTCGGTTGCTTATAGGGATCAGGCAAGCAGGCAAGCTAGTAATGATAACTGATATTTATTGAAATCCACTTGTCGGCCAAGTACTTTTCTACTTGAATTTATATGTATTATCCTTCTTAACAACCCTTTGGTTTGTTTATATTATATTATTCACATTTCAAATGAAGAAAACAAGACAAAGGAAAGTAAAAGAACATGTTTAAGGACAGCAAGTTAGTAGGTAGCTGCATTAGTGTTGAAATTCAGCTGTTCAGTGATTAAAGTGGGAAGATTGGTTACTGTGGTGTAATTGAGAGAACATGCCTCATCTAGGAAGTGAAAATTTGGGGGTTTTATATGAAATTTTGACAATTAGGAAAATACTTGAGTCATACAAGACTTGCCTGGTGATTGCATTCAGCCCTATTAAAAAATAGGGATGATAATGACAATAACTACTTCCTAAATTTGATCTAAGTATAAAATAGGGCACTTTGTGATTTTATATGCAACATTTACTTTAGTGCCTGACACATATGCTACATAAATGTTAGCTATCTTAATAGCCTAAACACTCTCCAGCTGTTGAAAAATGTCATTTATTATTGTTTTTAAGAAATTATATAACATGCCAGCATACACACACACACACACACACACACACAGTAAAACTAAACAAAAAATAGTATACTTAATTAAAGGATTGAGGTTGCATTTGTTTCCCATTCCCAACTCCTTTCCATCTCCATGAATAATTAAAAAAAAACCTTAATTGCTGTATTTATCTTTCTAGTAAACTATATGTAAGATTATATGTAAGATTCATTCATATGTATGATTCATTCTTACATTATATGTAAGAATCTTACGTATTATAATTGCTATAGTTATCTTGTTTTTTTTTTGTTTTTTTTTTTTCACTTAAAAAGTCTTGGAGAGCTTCCAGAGTCACTTTTACAAAGCTACTTTATTCTTATTAAAGATCTTATGGCATATTTTTTTTGTTATGGCTGTGCTATAATTTATAGAACTAGACCTCTCAGTTGTCACTTAAGTAGTTTTTAATTGTTTACTGTTATGAAAATGGTTCTATAAAGAACAGATATTTTTGCAAATGTTTGCATTTCTTTAGGCTTATTTTTAGGTGGAATTGCTAAATCAAAATATATTAAGAATATTCACAGCTATTGTACCTTTGTCAAATATATTTTTTAATAACTAATATTTTATGATTCTGCCATTATTTACGTTACTGTTCCTTATGTTGTCAAATTTAGGTTGTTTCCACATTTTTGCCTTTGTAAGTGATCCTGTGATAAATATCTGTGGAGTAGATTTATTTTTTAAAGGATAAATAATCTAAGAGGAATTTATCAGCTAGTAAGTGTATTTCTGATTTATTTATTTTTCCAAAGCTATAATTTCTCCAAAGCTATTATGAGAACTTTATTTAGTGATAATGTATTATTTTTTAGAAAAAAATAGAGTTTTGATAAAGTCATCACCTAGGACTTTTAATACTTTACTCAAGATTTTAGAATCTTACATACATATTTTTCATTTTAGGTATTGTCATCTGTAACAAAGATCATTGTGAAGCTGAAGATGGAATAAAGTTTTGAACACTGGACCTGGATTAAGAGATTTAGAAAACAAAATTAAAATTAGCCACTTTGGTTTTTAGCATTCCAATTTCATAATATTTATTCATCTAAATTTATTTAGAGAGTAGATACTAAATTTCAGTATTGTACCAAAGGATGCACTAAAATTGTTCTTGCATTCTTTTCCTTTTTGTAAGAGAAAAGAGATAGCCAATAGCTATTGTGATTCATAATGAAATATACCAAGAAGAATTTTATAATGTTAATTATTGGATTTATAATCTATATAATTGATTTAATTGTGGATCTCTGGGTTTCTGTCAGATTTTTCCAAGAAGAACAAAATGTTTTTGGTGCTTTAACAATAAGTTTTATGCTGTTTGGAACACTTGTTGTCCAATGTTTCAGTTATTCTTGGTTTAAGGGTGACTTAAAGAAATCTGGTCAAGAAAGTGAGAGTCCTTTACTCCTACTTCATTGCTTGCAAGGAGGAATTTTTAAAAGGTAAGCCTACACTCTGATCATTAACACTTATTTTTCTTTTTTCTAAACAGAAAGTGTCTTCATGTATCTGAATAGTCAACTGTACAAAGTTCCCATATTTCATGTACTGTAAAGGCTACTTGCTTCTCTTTCTCACTGCTCATATGAGTCATTGCTGTAGTTGTCCAAATTTTCTAGGTTTATTAATGTAATGTTTTAATTTACACAGTTAAGTGACCTATTCTGTTATGTATGTCTATGAGTTTTGTTTTTTTTTTAAAGATTTATTTATTTATTCGTACAGAACTGGGGTACAGGTCAGAGATGCGGAGAGTGAGAGGAATCACCAGAGACAGAGTGGGGTACAGAACAGGCAGATCGACAAGTACACCGCTGAGGGGAGCAGTGGGTGGGTCAGGAGAGGTCTGCCTCGCCATGTGGATCTCCTCCAGGGCAGGCGGGAATCAAACTCATGCGGAAGTGGTTTAAACTTCTTTGTGTTGTGCTTTAACCAGCTGCGCCACCAGGGAGGGCCCCTATAAGTTTTTTATCTTATATTTTATTCCATGCCTGATTATGCAAATATGGCCTATCACTTGAAAGTCTGATACAGAGCACTTAATTTTTTAAGTTACTTATACTGTTGCTTTAACCAACTGAAATTTTTATTGTAATAATGCCAATAGCCATATAGTTAGTTGGGTATATAAGCATGGACAGAATTAATAACACTTTAAGAATTATGTTGTGCAAAATTTTAGAGTAAAAGAAACCAGGATCTAGTAGGCCTTGAGAACCCTATGATTCTCCATATATCTAATTTCACATGATCTTACATTGTAACTTTAAGGGATGTAATTCTGTTAAAAATATATACCTTACAAATAAAGAGGAAAACTAAAGACATTGAGAGGAAAGCATACTGCTTCATAGCAATTAGAGTTTGAATTTGGGCTATTTTAATAAATTTCATTAAGGTTAAGTTTTGATTTTACCATGTTAAAAAGCAACATATTCTTGGCAATTAGTTGAAAGTATTAGAAAACACAAAAAATAGGATCATAAAATCATAAGTAAAAAAAGAGAAATCAAAAGAATAATCATAGGTTACTATGAGTATTTATATGCAAACAAGTTCAACAATCCAGAAGAGATGGACAAATTCCTAAAACTGTACAGTTATCCAAAGTGAGGTAAACAAGAAATAGAACACCTAAACAGGCCAATTACAACTAGTGAAATTTAAACAGTAATCAAAACAAAAGTCCCCGACCAGGTGGTTTACAAATGAATTCCACCAAACATTCAGAAACCAGCTAATGCCTGTCTTACACAAACTCTGTCAAAAAATCTGAGAAGGAAGGAATATTACAAAATACATTTTATGAAGCCAACATTATACTAATAACAAAACTAAGCAAGAATAACACAAAACTACAGGCAAGTTTTTTAATAAACACTGATGTAAAAATCCTCAACACAAATCTTAGCCAACAATACATCAAAAAGATAACATGCCATAACCAAGTGGGATTAATTTCAGGGACACAAGGATGGATCAACATGAGAAAATCAATTAATATAATCTAACACATCACCAAAAAGAAAAAGAAAAACCATATGGTCCGATCAATAGCTGGTGAGAAAGCATTGAACATAGTTTAATACCCATTTATGATGAAAGCCCTCTAAATCCTTGGGATAGAAGGAACATACCTGAACATAATAGAAGCCATAAAAGACAAACCCACTGCCAATGTTACCCTCAACAATTGCTGAAAAGCTGAAAGCTTTTCCCTTAACATCTAGAACAAGGCAAGGTTGTCCACTCTCACTACTTCTTTTCTCTATAATACGGGGCATCCTAGCCAGAGTGACAATCTGATAATATATAGCGAATTCTAAAAATGTCACAGGAAAAACTAGTCAATATGATAGAACAATTTAGTGAAGTAGCAGGATATAAAATCAATGCACAAATATCAGTAGCCTTCCTATATGCAAAAAATCTGAAGAAACTAAGAAAACCATCCTTTTTATGATTGAAACTTAAAAATCAAATATTTGGGAATAAACCTAACAAAAGAGGTAAAGGACCTATACAAAGAAAACTATAAGACATTGTTAAAAGAAATAGAAGATACAAAAGTGGAAAGATATCCCTCACTCATGGACTAGAATTAACACTATCAAAATGGCCATCCTACTGAAATCAATTTACAGATTCAGTGCTATTCTGATAAAAATTTCAAAAACATTCTTCAAAGAAATAGAACAAATGTTGATGAAATTCATATTGAGCCACAAAAAATCAAATAGCCAAAGATCTCCTGGCTAAAAAAGAATATTTGAGGTATCACAACTCTTGATTTCAAACTACTACAAAGTCATAATAATTAAAAATGTATAGTAATGGAACTAAAACAGACACACAAATCAATGGAATTGAATAGAAAACCAAGAAATAAAACCACATATTTATAGACTACTAATCTTTGACAAAGGAGCAAAGAATATGCAAAGGACAGTTTGTTTACTAAATGGTGCTGAGAAAACTGGATTACAACTTGCAAAAAATGACGCTAGACTACTGCCTCACACATTGCACAAAAACAACCCAAAATTGACAAAAGCCCTGAATGTATGACTTGAAATCATAAAATATAGAGAAGAAAAAGGTAGAGAAAGCACTATACCACAAACAACTCAGTAACATCTTTAAGGAGTTATCCTCCAAAGCAAACAAAGTGAAGGAAAAGATAAACTGGAATTACAAAACTAGAAAGCTTCTATATAGCAGAAGAAACACTAACCAAAATAGACACCCTGCTAATTGGGAGCAAATTTTTGTATACAATACAAATGATAAGGGACTGATAAAAAAAAATCTACAAAAAGCTCAACGGGCACACCAAAAGTAAACAATCCAGTAAAAAAATTGGCAGAACAGCTAAAAAGACACTTCTCCAAAGAGGAAATGTGGTCTACAGGTTTGTTAAAAAATGTTCAACATCACTATAATGAGGGAAATGGAAATCAAAACCACAATGAGATACTAGCTTACACCAGTGAGAAAGGTCACATATTAAAATAAAACAGGCAGCAACAAATGTTGGCGAGGATGTGGAGAATAAGGAACTCTCCTACACTGCTGGTGAGAATGCAAACTGGTCCAACTATGGCAAGCTGTGTGGAGGTTCCTAAAACTACTAAAAATGGAGCTACCATATGACACAGCAGTGCCACTCCTACCCAAAGAACATAAAAACATTAGTTTAAAAAGATACTTGTACCTCTATGTTTATTGCAGCTCCATTTACAATAGATAGGATATAGAACAACCCAGGTGCCCAAAAATAGATGACTGGGTCAAGATGTGGTATATAAACACAATGGAATACTATTCAGCAATCAAGAAATCTAAGCTCATGCCATTTGCAGCAACATGGATGGATCTAGCAACATAGAAAGGTTCATGTGAAATAAGCCAGAGGAAAAAGGAAAATATTGGATGGTTTCATTATAGGAGGATTATAGGGGAACCAAATAAGGGATCAGAAAAAAATAACAACAATTAAACAACAGCACAATTAACAACCACGAATCAGAGACATTCTGAGAGGGAGAGGGAGGAAAAGGAATCAAAACAGGAGAGAAAGCACAAGGGACTATGTTGGTGGTTCTCAGGTGAATTGGTGGTGGGAATTTTACAGGTAATAAATGTAAAAGGAGAATTCATACAAACATACATTGTATGCAAATGAGCAATGTTGTAAAAGATAAATAAAAAATCTATTAAATATAAAAATAGATTTATTTTACTATAAAAATACATAGCAATAAATGAAAACAACCCCCCCAAACAAATAAAAACAAAGCAACATTAACAGTGAAAAATATTTGTAAGACAGGATTTGTCTTTTAGTATTTAAAATACTTCTGAAAGTAAAACAGCAAAAGGTCATTCGTTCAATAAAAAAAATGGAACAGGAATAAGAATACTTCATAGAAAAAGAAATGTGAATGACTATTAAGTTCTATGGAAGATGGTAAAAATGCCCTTCACTATAAAAAAAAGCCAGTTGAAACTACATATAAAGAACTATGAATTTTCACCTAACATATTGACAACGTTGATAAGGCATACAATCCCTATGGGGAGGGCAACTTGATCTTATTTCAGATACATATATCTTTAGGCCAGAGATTACTCTTCTGAAAATTTATCATACTACAGACACACACACACACATATAAAACAATACTATATATATATATATATATATATATAATAATACTACATGTGTGTGTCTAACAATGAATGATAAACTAAATATGCTGAAAGGGAAAATCTACAAGATGTATTTTAAATAAAAAGGCAAAGTACATATAGAAGCTATAATGTACTACAATTTGCGTATATCCATAAACAATTCTGGAAGGATACATATGAAACTAATAATTGAATTCTTGTGATTATGGGTGAAGGTGAAAACTGGGTAATTGAGTCATTGGTGTAGAGTAGTACTCTTTCACCAAATAACTATTCTTTGATACAGTTTTTTTTTAAATTATGTGAATACTTTTTCTATTCAAAAAATTGAAAACAAGAATGACAAAGTTGAATTAGATTGACTATGAGTGAACAATGCCATAAGATAAAGACATTTCTGTTTTGCCTTTTTATTTTCTTAGTAAGGAAGTGGTAGACTATTGAGTTGATTAGTGAGGATAAATAAAGTTGCAATAATTTTTTAAACCATTTTTATATTTTTTATAAATTGGTGGTGCTTCCCACCACCATTTCACCCATGTGCCATCACCAAAGTCCATTGCATTCTTCCCACCCTAGTTCTGATCATTTATAAGAATGAGCCACACTGTTTAAGGGTTTGTCAGTGGAATAACAAGATGTGCTTAATTATGTATTTACTTTCCTACAGACTAGTTAACTTGAGTTTGTGTTGGTAGATGAAAAATAAGGAATATGAACATAACTTATTTATTAGGTAAAGTCCCTG